GAAACAGCAAAATGTAAATGTTCAGAACAACTTCAATCAAAAATGGTAAGTGAAGGATAAATCAAATTGTAAAATATAATTTAATACACTAAGTAAGCATTTTAGCATAAATGTATGGAAAAAACTGACATATTCGTTTGAATCTTATTTATTTGTCGATTTTAATTATTATTGTCTCATTTAGTCATAGGATTTTTGCCAATGAATGGTCGATTAAATGTTCATCAGTTATATGCATACATAAGCGCAATTTATATTTTCGTTGGGTCAAATTTTCGTTGTTTGAAGAAAATCTACAGGTTTGTGGGGATTTGATTTCGTGGATGAAGATGTGTTGAGAAGTCATGTATATGACTTTTTACTCTTCGTGGTGGACATGAATTCCTGGGTCTCTTCATACCTCAAAAACAACGAAAATTAAACCAACACGAAAATCAGTGATTTCACAATTCTTGTTGCATCGTCTCAAGGCAGGTAATATCGTGAATTTCAAATCGTTTCAGATTATGGCTCAAATATTGGCTGTCATTTTCCTCTTGTCACAGCTACAAATAAGTTTCTCCCAAAGTCTGGATACGAGAATCGGCGATGATAAATGTGCACAGGGAGGATTTGAAGATTCTCTGCTATCAATAAAAATGTATATAGACTCCCAACTACAAGAGTTGGAGCAAAAAGGTCTTTGAAATTACCTTGACACCTTTGTACTTTAAAATATTAGATACACGAATAATTATTATTTTCTAAGTAAACTGAAATCCATTTCTGAGAAAAAAGTTTATCATTTTTTGTTTCAAAGGTAAAGAAAATGATTATAATTAGATAATATTGTTCATGTTGTTTTCATGTGATAAAGGTAACTGGGTACGGAATAATTGAATGTTTTTTAAATAGCTTTTTATACTTTTAGTGAAAAAAGAAAACAGAGAGAGGCTGCAAAATCTTCAAACACAGATAAACAACTTAAAAGGTCTCTGTTTTAAAGTAATAAAAAATTGCACTACTTTAAATGCTTTTATGACAATTATTTAATACGCTTTCTTTCTATTTATAAATCACATGTTTACGTCATGATTTGTTTCAAGATTGTCCGAAAGGATGGGACAAGCATGGGACTTCGTGCTACATGCTAAACACCCAAAAGTTATCATGAGAACAGGCAAATGTAAGGAACCTAAGATAAAAGATATATATATACATATAATGACTTACTACTGACCATTTTTGGTTTGAATATATTTATTATTATGTGAATATTCATTTTTAATTACGCACATTTACGGGATTTCACCCAAGGTCTTACAAAACCCTATATATTACTTTATTTAAAATTAGGTTTAGATTAGAATTGTTATTCCATTATTTATACACGGAATTGACGACGGATTTTTCTGTTATTTCCCGACCATGACAAGGAGCACACAGCGGGTGTGACCGGTCAGCAGGGGATGCTCACTCCTCTGTGACACCTGATCACACCTCTGATGTTTTAGATGCCTGTGTTCTCTCTGCTTCTATTTAGTATTGTTTTATGGACTTTGATATTGAATGATGTTCGTTATCTCCATTTACTTCATTTAGTCCTCTGCATGACGGAATTCCTTTTGTTGGCATTACCGAGTAAGCTAGTGTGCAATACCAACCAATACGTACATAATAAACATGTACAGTAATTACAGGTTAAATGTCGTGGATTGTCAGCCAGGTTGGTTGAAATAGATACAATGCCCGAGAACGTCTTCGTAGCAAACATTTTAAAAAATAAAGAACCCAGTGGTGAGTGTTTGTTTATTAATACAATTAGTTAATGGCTACTAAGATTTTTTTAATTACCCACATATTTTAAATGAATTATTTTCTTTAACATCATATTTTGATGAAGTATATTTCGACTTCTGTTTATTTTGGTTTTCAAAACTGATTACAATTTCTACGCAAATACAATAAACACTATTTAGACTTGTAATGTTGATTGTGGAAATTCAATTTTCCTATTCAGTACATATGTATATATCATAAACTGCATATGTGTAGTAGGGTGTTTAGTATATGATTATAATGATTAATTACTTTTGTAAGAATGTCTAAAACAAGCAAACGTACATCTTTTTAACAATTGGATGGCTTTTGGCCTGATACTATTATCTATATTTTTGCAAAGAAGTGTATTTACGCTACAGTGAGAAAGTATATGTTTCATCTACTTTTTAACATCTTTAATTGATTGAATTTGTGTTGTTTTAAGGACTACTTATTCAGAGGTGTCACCATAAACTAGTGTAGGTCTACAAATTTTGACCTTCACTCGGCAACTGACCAGATGAGGATCTTTCGCGGGTTTGTTAAGGCAGCACATGGATCAGAATTCGGCGAATTAACATTTTTTTATAATTATGCAACACTAATAAATCGGAAAAGTCAAGGATAAAACTTTTACTATAATTGTGTATTCTATAGACTTCAATGGAACTTATACTACAGGAGGCACTTCACCACGACGTCACCACTGACGTCTATAATTAGAAAATATGCCTTAATGAAAAAGTAAAAAGTTAAACACTACCCCGGGGATAATTAGTTCCAATTTATATCAATAGTTATGTTAAAACATCTCTGTCCCATGAAAAGTGCTGCTAGAATCCTACTGTCATCTTATAGAAATAATTATTCAACAATTTCGGACGAAACCTTCCGAAAATTTTTACATTTTGTTCATAACATCGAAAAAATGCATCAATTCCCGTAAACCATACGATTCTAGCAGCACTTTCCAAAAACAAAAGAATAAGAACTTTACATAGAAACAAAAATTAGGTTTCAAAGTATGCGGCGTAGTGTTGAACTTTTGCATCTTTTTTGTTACGAACGAGAGAGGAAAGGCTGATCGGCAAGTAAACACCCTCTCTGCTTTTAATTCTGCTCTAATTTTACGAAGCAATTGCAGAATTATATTACCATACCTTATTCATACGCTTTATTCCCACAAGGATTGCACATGATATTCATTCTAAATGCTTTTAAACTCCGATTTCTTGTGTTTGTTTACATTAATTCTCGTCACTTTTCACTTTCACTCTGCTACTGCATGATCAACAGTTATGACGTCACGGGTTTGGTATGTAACCCCTGTGATAACTACAGAGGCCCAGGAACGCCAAAATTCCGTTGATATTATTCCTCAGCATATTTTGGTTCATTTTTATGACCTCAAATCAATCTTAGATATCGGATTTAAGAAATTTTTATCTCTAAATCTCACGTCGTATAGCTTATTATGACGTCATAGCATATAGGCAAGTAGAATATTTGGTTGTAACCTTAACCTACCTGCGTTGTCGTGTCAGCGTCTAACGTAACACGGACCTCGGTTTTTATTGTTTCAAAACTTTCACTTCAAACTGTCGAAAGAACAGTTCATAACTATTTGTATCGACTTAGGTCAGTCTCGGTCAAGATTCCAACTCGCTACATTCTGATCACATCTTTTAATTCAGGAAAATACTTTATTGTTTTTTTAATTATATATTTTTTTTCTTTCAACACCGTTGATATAATAATATTCTTATTATTATTGGGTGGTACGGACAAAACACAAGAAAACAATTGGATTTGGAATCACTCAAGGTTACCATTACGATTATCTAACTGGAACAAGGGGGAACCTAACGACGACAAAGGAAACGAAGATTGTATGGAAATACTTTCCCGAAATGGGATGTGGAATGATATGCCGTGTTCTTATTCGTCTATGTTTGTCTGTGAAAAAGATATTTAATTTAAGAAAAATCTCAAATGGGGGAAAGAAAAAGACACTTGACATTTTAGAATATTCTGTAAAAAGAATGTATTTACATGATTTTGTGAAGAAAATGGATATTAATAATCAAGAAAATATTTTCTTTAAAAGGAAATGAATGTAATCATAGTTCAGATATTCGTTTACTTTTAAGTTAAACAAACTACATATAAAATCATTATATTGATTGATTGTATGCTATTTTACCTCCCATTTAAGAATTTTTCGACCAGTTAGAGATGTCACCATAAAAAGAAGAAGGTATGTGATTAAACTTGATAATATATACTGTATATATATAACTACAGCATTTTTGTTAGGGAACGTATACTGTTTCATGATACCAAAATATTTTTTTTAATGTAATTTTAATGTCGAGCATCATTATTGAAAGATTTATTCTACGAAACAATGCCTCGTAGTGTACATGTATTTCAAATATGATTGTGGTTTTAAACTCATTTACAGAATTTATGGATTGATAATTGCAATGTGTGTTGGATGAAAAGAAAGAAGCGAAACACATGTACAACAACTCAGAAAATGCCTTCTTAAATTTTTAAGAAGACGAAACTTTTAAAAATTTCAAATGAATAAATATGTTGGCTTTCCATTGAATTTGACGTAGGAAAATAATTAAAATTTTATTAACTGCTTATTCAAATACTTATGCATTCCCTGATATAATATATTGAATTGTTTCTCATCAAATTATATTTATTTGAAAAATATATATTATACCCAAGTACACGTTCAACGCTTCGAATAACAGTTTGTTTTTTAAAGAAAAATAAATCATTTGCCAAGAAAATGTTGTACTCAATAGACAAAGGGACAACTTGGTAAATTATTTTATTTTATCTTAAATTAAAAGAACCAAATCAACATATCATCATATTTAACCAATGAATAAATATATAAATCTGCTTGAAGAAAATTATAATGAGTTATTAAAATGATTGATACGTACTTTCAATTCATTTACATTTATTATTGAATACAAAAGATTTTCCAATTAAAAAATGAGTAGGCATTTTAATTAGAAAATGTATAAAAATTTGCGACGTGAATTTGTATTATAAAGCAATGAATATATTAAGTCATTATTAAGGAAATCAAATTAAAATTAGAAAAAATAAAAAAATTGAATGAAAGGATGTAATAATAATGAAAAAATTAATATAAACTCCTTCTTTTTGCCAACATAAAATTCTATCGATTAGATGGTTTCTTTTTCAAGGACAAAGTAATTATGATCAGTATGTTCATTTTTAGTGTCCATTCTAACACTGCATCCAGCTCCTTTGTCTCTATATCCTTCCATGTAAACATCATTTCCTTCATGATCAAACACCAAAGTTCCGTACCCTTCACAATGTAATGACGTCGAGGAATGCGGTCTAGCGTGGTCGTAGACGTCATCTGTATTTGTTGTAGCTTTGACTGATTCATTTAAATGGTTATATACACCGTCTTCTGTGAAGTTGGATGTAGAAATGCTCTCCTCTCTCGGAATGGGATTAACATGTGATACCTTTGTAGGTTTTTGCTGAAATATAGCATTAATTGTGTTTATATATGATGCAAAAAATGTTGAGATATTATCAAGTATTCATGACCAACATATTTGTTCTTTTATTAGAACATTTGAAACGTAAAATTATGATATTTGGTATTTGAATGTCTTGACTGAATTAATAAAAACATAAATCTTGATTTAACATTAACATTTTCTGAAGATTTATTTTTCTCTGAATACCTTTTTTCAATTATCATATCTGTCTTTTAATTTGCAAATTTTTAATATCGACACTGGATAATCCGCGCAAAAGTCATATAAATTACATTTTTGAAAATTTTTCTTACTTTTACATTAAAGTGGAAAGTGTAACTTTATTTCAAAGCAATAAATTATTGTTTTTAAAATAATAATAAAAGACATTGTTCGTTCTTACTGTCTTGTTTCTTGTATTCATTTGATCATAATCTCCGTTCTCGTACGCTGGGTTATGGTTATAATTTTGCAAGAGATTGTTCTTTCTAGAAGGTAGAAATCAGCATTCATACTTTATCTATTAAACCCAAGGTTAATTATGAAGATATAATAAATAAAGCTAGCGAATATATGATAAAAAACCAGAAGTCTCTGTCGAGACTGAAGCTCTACTGGTTTGAACTTATAGCAAAGGAAGAGAAAGTACTTAAGCAGCTGGGATTTGAAACTTTATAAACAGCATTAAATAGAATAATGATCGTTGATAAAGTCTCTTTATGTTCTTAGTGTAGTTTATTTGTGTGCCAAGTTATACTGAAATCAGACCAAAACTGTAGGAGGTGTAGCATTTTGAAACAATTTTACAGACATTTCTATTTTTAGTGACCACGGCAACACCGTTCATCAAAATTAAAATTCGATATACAGAATTATGTATCTTAGTGTAGTCTACTTGTGTGCCAAGTTAAATTGAAATCAGACCAAAACTGTAGGAGGAGTAGCATTTTGAAGCAATTTTACAGATATTTCTTTTTTTAGTAACCACGACAACACCATTCATCGAAATCAAAAACAGATATACAGAATTATGTATCTTGGTGTATTCTACTTGTTTGCCAAGTTATACTGAAATCAGACCAAAACTGTAGGAGGAGTAGCATTTTGAAAGAATTTCACAGAAATTTCTATTTTTAGTAACCACGGCAACACCGTTCATCGAAATCAAAAACCGATGCACAAAATTATGTATCTTAGTGTAGTCTACTTGTGTGCCAAGTTATACTGAAATCAGACCAAAACTGTAGGAGGAGTAGCATTTTGAAAGAATTTCACAGAAATTTCTATTTTTAGTAACCACGGCAACACCGTTCATCGAAATCAAAAACCGATGCACAAAATTATGTATCTTAGTGTAGTCTACTTGTGTGCCAAGTTATACTGAAATCAGACCAAAACTGTAGGAGGAGTAGCATTTTGAAAGAATTTCACAGAAATTTCTATTTTTAGTAACCACGGCAACACCGTTCATCGAAATCAAAAACCGATATACAGAATTTTGTATCTTAGTGTATTCTACTTGTTTGCCAACTTATACTGAAATCAGATCAAAACTGTAGGAGGAGTAGCATTTTGAAAGAATTTCACAGAAATTTTTATTTTTAGTAACCATGGCGACACCGTTCATCGAAATGAAAAACCGATGCACTATTTGATGTATCTTAGCGTAGTCTACTTGTGTGCCAAGTTATATTGCAATCAGACCAAAACTGTAGGAAAAGTAGCGTTTTAAAGGAATTTCACAGAAATTTCTATTGTTAGTAACCACGGCAACACCATTCATCAAAATCAAAAACCAATACACAGAATTATGTATCTTAGTGTAGTCTACTTGTGTGCCAAGTTATACTGAAATCAGACCAAAACTGTAGGAGGAGTAGCATTTTGAAACAATTTTACAGAAATTTCTATTTTTAGTAACCACGGCAACACCGTTCATCGAAATCAAAAACCGATACACAGAATTATGTATCTTAGTGTAGTCTACTTGTGTGCCAAGTTATACTGAAATCAGACCAAAACTGTAGGAGGAGTAGCATTTTGAAAGAATTTCACAGAAATTTCTATTTTTAGTAACCACGGCAACACCGTTCATCGAAATCAAAAACCGATACACAGAATTATGTATCTTAGTGTAGTCTACTTGTGTGCCAAGTTATATTGAAATTAGACCAAAACTGTAGGAGGAGTAGCATTTTGAAAAATTGTTTACAGACAGACGGACAGACAGACGGACAGACGGACGGACGCCGGACGCATTACTATCGCATAAGCTCTTCTGGTCTCTGACCAGTAGAGCTAAAAACGTACAAACAAACAGTAGCATATAACAATATTAATGTATGTCTCGCTATCAACATACGCTAATCAAACATTCATATCAGTATGAATGCAAATATTTTCAATGTTCTTGATTGCAATTGCACTCGCATGATATTTCTTTAGCTCGCCAAAAGTTCAAGTAAGCTTTTCTGATCAAAGACTTAGTTCCGGCTTCTGTCTTATGTATCTGTTGCATGTCTTGCATGAACTTTCGACTGTATGCTTTTCAGATTGCAGAAATCACAAGGCCAAATATGTCACAAACCATCTATGATTAAAATATACTAGTATTTTACTTTATTCACAAGTAAGATTTTCCTCGTCCTCCATAAGGGGAGATGAAATAAAAAATACCAGATTGACTTCTTTCTAATTATAAAAATTGTCTTTTCATGAACAACTTGGTGTTGTTTATTATAGGAATACTAATCAAATGTCTGCTAAAGAACAGTTAATTATTAATTAATCATATTATCATAGAAGCTTCCTCAGGTAGTACAGATTCAAATTTGTTCAAACTAAGAGTGGGTAGGGTGGGGCAACAATAAGCGATCATAGTTCCACATAGGAACAAGTAGTTTTTTTTAAATTATTTTCCTGCTCAAGAAAACACCACCATGATTAGTATCTCTGCGGAAGTGTAAATTCAGTTTGTTTCCTCAACGATGAACTTCTCAATATACTGAAATGATTTCTGATTTTCCATAAGTGATGCGCTCAAGTGAGCGATGCGTTATCTGTGCTTATTTTTATGTTACATTTTGAGAAGTAATGCCCTGCTCACACGGAGAGTTTGATTCTAATTAAACGTGAAGTTGCTGCGATTAGCTTCGCTTAGCGTTCACACGGAGAATTTAATACGAATTAGTTTAATTCTAATTAGTTTACTGCGCATTTAATTACTTTGAATTAGCTCCGTGTGAACACTAAGCGAAGCTAATTCGAATCAAATTCTGAGGCATGCGTAATATCAAAAATTAGTCAAATGCCACTTGTCGGTGGTCAGGTATAGGTACTTGTGCTAATGAAAAACTAAGAAAAACGTTGTTAATCATTAAAATGTGTATACAGACACTTTTCCATTATGTCAAATGGATCTGCTTTTGCATAAGGTGACGTGATTTACAAATGACGTCATAATAGTCGTGCTGACGCCGGGCTGCAGAAGTAAAATTCACATTAGTTTACTCAGCATTATCTGTCGTCTGAACGCAATTTAAATCGCATTGACTTACTTCGCATTAATTTACGGCGAATTAAACTCTCCATGTAAACAGGGCATAAATATATAGAAAATACTAGGAATAAATAGAAATATTATTGAAGATCTTTAATAAACGTCTTGCAACAAGTCAGTGGAGCTTTTTTAAATGATTAGAAGACCATTTTTTTAAATTATCTTAGGTAACAATATGTTAAACACGAAAATGTAAAATGTAATACTTCTCCTGTTCTTTTCTTGCTCTTTGCCAAAAATAAATAAAGACAGATGATGTTATGATAAATCCAAGCACCAGTCCACCGAATAACGCGCCGACCACAACTCCAGCTGAGAAAGCTATTTTCGTAAATTGTTTAATCTCTTTAAAAATTGTAAGTGAAAACTATTACTTTGCACAAAAAACGATATTTTGCGGAAGTTTAAACCAAAATGATAAATATACCATTACCTCTTGAAATCTCCTCTGCACTTTGAACAGAATCAGCATCTAAAAGGATCGAAGACTACTTTAGAACAGGTCTTACATCAATTCATACTCTATACTGAACTTCAAATTGTCCCTTTTGAAAATTGGCTACGTTTAATATTTCCACTTTAGCAATACAAAAGAAAAAAAAATATCCAATGACGCAGTTCTAAGTGGAATTATCAAATTTTTTTTTGGAAATATGAACTATACTACATATCAAATATATCATTTACATTAAACATTTAGACTATTCAAAGCAACTGCTTTCAATATCGTCAACTTCCTTATTCTAAATGTACTCAAGAATTTCATTTATAGATAAATTTATTTTTTTTTACAGATTTGTTTTTCGAAAAGCGGAATACAACTAAACGATCATGCAAATTTCTAAAATCGGTTTTACAGGTGTTAAATGAATACATATTAACAAAATATTACATATATCCGAATAAACTGAAAGTATTTATTACAAGGATAAGCTTGTATACAAAACAAAGCAGAGGCAGAGTCTCCCACAATAAAATATATACAGTAAAGACTTTTATTTCCTTTGGGGATCCCTTTGTTATATGAAGATACATATGTATGAAAACCTTTAGTAAAACTCTCTGCTGTAGAACCAGTATATTTTCCTGCTGACGATGTACATGGGCAAGGGGGGCAAACTATAAAAGAAGAAAATGAAATTATTTTTTGCAGTAACACTCTTCAATAACTAAACAAAATGTATTAGGAAATACCGACAAAATTGTTTACCGGTCGTTGACGCCTCTGCCGTAGAACCGATGTAAACAGTGCTTTTATTTGGAGTTGGACAAGGAGGACAAGCTTTAAGAAGGAAAAATCTTTTATTGTGTATTGAAAAACTTAAATATAACGATTAACGAGCAATGTTTCATTAAAGATACAAACAAACATAGATGTGTGAAAAAAATATTGAATACGGACCCTCGAAAACATAGTTGAGTCAGGTGCTGAGGAGAAGTAAGCATCCTCTGTTGATCAATCACACCCGCTGCTCACCCAGTGTATTGATCAGGTAGACATTTCGTATTTATGTTTGATATAATACCAAAGCCTTTCAATAGGTATGAAACAATAGGTATGAGATGCCACCAATTGTCGGTGGAGATGATAGCCATTGGGAATTGATGGCTCTTTTTCGTGCCAACATTTATTGATATCGGTTGAAACGGTCTCATACGAAAGATTGGTATCCATGTTACAATAGTGGGATTCAAACTTGCAAAGACTATGAAGCAAGCAAGCCACATTTTGAAAGTAGTGAGCACAAAATCGCAGCAACGATGGGATATTATTGCTTACAAGGTCATTAAAATTTGATTTTTAAATGCGTTTTGGAAATCCCGAAAATCAATCTACCTATACCCGTGGTAGACTGTTTGGTGTAAAAGATTGATCGTACTAGAAGCGAATAATTAAGTTATAGATATACACCATTGCAAGTGATATCTGAATATTACGAAATGAATAGGGAAAGATAGCAATTTATACGAATAGGTCAAGAATTATCGGATATATAAATCATTTATGTTTTAAAAATAAAACGTAATGGCATTGTTAACTGTTCATTGATGTAAAAAAACTATTTTTTGTTCTATTTCCATTAATATTTTAAATGATAATTCGTTGTACGTATCAGATATATTGACTATGACGCCCCTGTAAAATTACAATTGCATTCATTTTGATCCCTTTATGATTTTCATTTAACATGTAATTTTTTTTTCAGCAGGGGGTAAATGTGTTTTTTTTTTGAAAGGATTCTTTCTGAGAATAAATAAGAAAAAATAGTGTCCAAGTATATGTTAAGTCAAGTAGTTGTCTCTATTTTTTGCTTCCAATATCAATTTTACCCGAACCCACATTTTTGATATTGTCCGACAGTAAAAATTTCTAGGCACAATATAGGTAGATGGAAAAAGATATCTTGATGATAACAGTCAGCATATGCTTCCATTTATAATGTTTTCTGTATATACCGGTACATTTCTTATTCGGATTCACCATCAGTTCATCATCATTTCATTATATTTCCCATAGTAATTGTTCTGAATTTACAGAAGCTCCATGAATAAATACAGGCTTATAGTGTAATATTTCAGAAATTTAAATTGTTATCATTTGCTTTTAGCTATTACGTTGTTGATGTAAACTCCGTCTGAAGGGTCCTCCATACCATGTAACTTGTGACATATATAGAGAAAAAATACTTTAACTTCCGGTTTTATATAGTTTGTGCACTGACAATTTGCCTGGCACCGCTTGTAAGAGAGTATTACAAACGTTTTAGACATAAAGGTTTTGCTAAGGGAAGAGTATGCAATACATCCTAATTTTAAACAATGTACATATAGCATGATCAGGGAGTGACCGATCGATAAAGATGTGCAGTTTTTTTTAAAATAAAAGAACAACAGACATCTGGAATTATGTTACATAATAATTCGTAAACAATGGGTGCCGATATGACGAGAAAATTTTAGGTTATTCTTACTTTTAGGCTAATCAACCGATTCTGTGTTGGAAAGTGGTATTTTTGCACGCTAATGTGTGCGTTTCAATAAATACACTTTATCTTATTGTGTGTATATAAATATTGATAAAATAGTGTGCGTTTATTGTTTTTCTATTTTATAGCTGTCCAGTTCAGTATCCAATGATGAGTGACCATAGTATGGTGACGTATGCCAAAGTTTTTAGAGTCTCGGGCAACAGGAAAGATAACTCCAAATACATGTAGGAACTTTGATACCAAATATTTTGAAAATATTTTTCTACCTTAGTACATTTAATTTGAATTCAATATTTTGACGTAATCGAATTTATTGGTGTTACTTCTACACAATAGGAGTCTTCATTGCTTTTTTCTCTATGTATTTTAGAGAAAATGAGTTTTATCTATTATTAATAAGTTAAATAAATTTCTATAAAAATATGTTGATCGATAAAATTAAATTTTTATGATTATTCTATGAGCTTAAAAATGAGCTTGTGAAAGGGTAAGACAAAATTTGTTGTGCTATGAATGAAAATGCCTTGGGAAAAATATCCTGAATCTTGTGAAATTATTATTCTAAAAAATCAGTATGTTTTAATTCCTGGTAAGTATTTTAAGGTTGATATTCTTCTTATTAGTAATGCTCAGTAATATAAGAACATAAGCTTGGTGTGTGTTGAGGACCCTTAAAAGGCTGAATCGCGGTATAGAGCGTCTATTCAGTGCTTGCTGTGACGTGTGTGAACATAGCAGCAGAAAGTGAGACTTTAAAGCTTATAGAAGAGGTTGACCATATAAATCAAGTAAGGTCTTAGAGAATATTATCGAGGATAATGATAAATAAAAAGGCTATCTTGTTTTCGAGTAGCAAGCATATCAAATGCTAACTAGCAACAGAGGTTAGCATCTCGTCTGTGATCCGTCTTGTCGACATGACTGGTGACCAGGCTGTTGTGTGCAGTACTGTGTGTGCCTGAATAAGGCTAGCAGTGTGCACAGCAGTTGAAGGGATGTCACTTGTACTGACTGTGTCCAGAATAAGGCTGCAGTACAAGCGTCAGTCCGAGGTTGGCTGCTTATAAATTTATCAGTTGTAACTATTTGATATTGACGTGAATATTAACCTAGATAAGGTTAGGTCTTACTGTCTGTAACATTATATTTTGCATGCCTTTGTTTTCAATCATTTTCTAATAGTTTAATAAGAAAAATTATTATATTGGAAGTCATTCCACAAACACTGAATCGACAAGTACGACCCCTGATTGTGATTTGCATTACGCTCGACACGTTACAATTTTTACAAACGTAATGACAAAGTCATACCTGTGTTTGTAGCATAAATAATCTCAGATGTAGAACCTGTACAATTTATTGGAGATGTACTTGAATATTGACAGGGAGGGCAAGCTAAAAAAAAATATTGATTTCAATATGAATCTGTTTGGCAACATTTTCAGAATACACGCTTAACAAGAGATACATTTTTCATTAGTTCATTCATCAAACAGACTTTAAATTTGATTTTAAATAAAACAATTTTAGCAAAATTTTGATATGATACTTAATGACCTGCAGTTTCAAAAACCGCTAAATTTAAATTTAGTCATTACGAGCGTCTTTTAAAATTTTAATTCATAAGATAGTACACTAAAGTCATTTCTGTTTACAATAATGCTGATATACCAGAGAATCGAAGATACTAGTATTCTATATAGCGAATGTAAAGAGACCTACAATGTACTAAACTGTTGTCAAATTTGTCTTGCATAATGTTTAGTATGGCCATGCAAAAGTAAAAATAAGTACATTGTAAATACAAAACAACTGAAGATATATCCTTTGTTGATGCTAATTAATATGCAAATTAAGGCCCGTTTCGAACTTACTTGGAGGACTTATTTGACATAATGTAGTCTGTTCTCGGCAGATTGGACATTCTTGTGAACACAAATCACAAAGATCTAAATAAAAATAAAAGTTTACGTCGTATTACATGTATAAAATTTATGTATTATTTGCAGTGAAACCATAAAAATCTAAATTTGAAATGAAATTTATTCTAGACTATTTCTTTTTTTTTTTTTTAATGAAAGCTGGGTCTACAATACCAAAAATCCTCGCTAAACCTCACCTTCCCTGCTAATTGTTTTGCAAAGATCGCGTTCTTGCGTGTCAATTAATTAAAAACAAGAATTCTATATGCAGGTACTAATAATATCTTTGTACAAAATTGATATCATCGCTTTTTGTTATCAGTTTAAAATTAGTCATTTTGTTGTAAAACATATTACCATGAAACAAATTCTCTAAAAGAAATTAAAGTTAATGTTTCTACACGATAGGAAATGTCGATATTTATTTTCCAATATTTTTTTTAAATTAAGTTCCTGTATTATTTGTTAATATTTTCTAAATCCTGCATTTATTTTTGTCAAATTATTTCATTATGGTTTTTTTTTCTTTGTTTAATTTTTGCAATATAACATGCAAATATTTTAGGTTTTTAATTTGTTTTGAAAATATCTTCTTGTTTATTTCTATTTTTTTTCGTGTTTTTTGTCACATTACGAGTATTTGTTTATATGAAGAAAGTTTTTAAATTATATTGGAAGAAGGATATGGAGATAACGAACAGTATTCAATATCAAAGTCATTAAAACAATACAAAATAGGAGCAAAGCAAACACGGACCTCCGAAACATTAGAGGGGGAATCAGGTGCCATGGAGGAGTGAGCCGTGTGCTCCTTGTCATGATCGAGAAATAATGGAAAAATCCTTCGTCAATTCAGTATATAAATAATGGACTAACAATTAGTATGAAAAACGTCTGTCATCATTTGAATGATAAATTGTATTTGCTGACAAAGTCATTGTATCGACCATAGAACTTATGAAATGATGACTTTAAACAAGACTGCTGATGAACTTGTTTCATCAACTTGTTTGTCAATAATTTACCTCGATTAAGAAATAATTTACGTAGAGCATGTTTTTACGAATCGAATCTACTGAGATATGTTAATTCCGTATGCAGGTGATGAAGTTATATTGGTGCATAAGTAATGAAAAGTTAAATTAATCACGTTTATCAAAGATCTTAGGTGTTAGATTACCATATAACGTCTTTTAAAAATAAAATATTCATTCATGAAACACATGACTGTGTCAGACTCTGTTGTTCCTAGTATCCTTTATCTCAAGCTCACTAGAATATATCGTATCGACATATGAATGGAAAATACCATTGTTAATTGGAACTACATCGTCGATATATCTTAATGTCTAGCTGAAGGCCATGTAATCTAACTATTATTACGATATGATTACTCTATAGTTGAAACAAAGTAAACAAAAAATAAAGATAAGTTTCATATTTTGAATATCTTAATATTTAAAACAATCATATTTCTATACTGTTGTTTGTATGAACAGTATAATTTAAAACCACAAAGGTGATAACTTTTTTTTAAAAAAAATCACATATTTCGAATTATAAATTATTTTTACTTTTGAGTCGCTTCTCTTCTAAAATTAAGATTTTAGAACAATGTCTAAATCAAATTAAATTTTTTTTTAGCCCTGACAACATATTATCAAAGATCTTCTACTCTACCTCCTCTATAGACACAGGAGCTATCGGTAACACTACATGAGCCCCAATGGCAGCGGCAGGAACAACCTGTAAATAACGTAGTGCTCATAAAGATTTGATTTCAAATGCAACATATTATACAAATGGTGAGTGTTTTAAATTTAGAATACGTCATTTATGCCTGTCGATTTATATACTATATCTACTCACTGCATTCAAAGAGTTCAGATACATCTGCTGCAAACAAACCCAAGTAACTTGATATTGACACGATGGTAACTGAAAAAAAGTAAGGAGAGATGAGAGAAGAGAGGTAGGTACATGTAGGATGGGAGAGAGAGAGAGAGAGAGAGAGAGAGAGAGAGAGAGAGAGAGAGAGAGAGAGAGAGAGAGAGAGAGAGAGAGAGTCGATTTTAGTTTGTCTTTTTTAAAAGCTAATTTGTTGCACTCCTTAATCTGGCATGTATTTTAATAAACATTGCCATAAGTTCAAAAAATTTAACTCACAATATTCCATTCGAATTTTGCAAAGCAGTTTATCGCAATAATTGATTTTTGTAATAATACAAGGAATTGATATGATTTATTTTTGACGTAAAAGCACAGTAAACTATATACAATCTAATTTTTATTCACAATCAAGAGAGAGGGTTCTATGAACTGACTAGTTCAATGATATGTCAAAAACGATTTACATTTATATTATCATCCTGCACTTCAATGAGTTCTAATTTTTGTGAATTTCATTAACAACTAAATGTTTAATCAATCACAAAACAGATTTCTCAAAATTAAATTTACATCGGTGATAGTTCAATCTTAAAATAGACCTTCTATAGGGTGAATTCGCCATGCATCGGATACCCTTGTACTAACTTCAACAAGTTCTACCGATCTCGCTACCGACGGAAAATTATCAAAATGGAGTTTAACATTTAGTTTGACGAATGTGATTAAAATATCAATTTGGGACGCAATTGTATGCCCTTTATCAAGAAAATATCCCCAAAAATCAAGTTTTTAGGAATAACTCAAAATTCACCATGAATCGGACATTGTTTACCATGCATCGGACAGACGGCATTTTGACGGGAAAAATATCATACCTTTATTTAATTGACAATATCGTTGCAGAAATGTAGAACGATTCAAAAGACATCACTCTGCCTTAAAAATGCTTTAAAATGCTTATAATGCGGTAATTCGAGCCTTTTTTCATGGTTTATCATATTCTGGTTTTTAGAAATATATTGAGTCAAATTCCAGACGTCATACATGTATATCGATTACTTGTATTTTGACTGAAAATATAGTCTTTATTTTCTTTTTATGCAAAAAAAAAAAAAAAACAGCTATCAGCTGGGTTCTGTATGAAAATGGCAGTGCTTACCTTTGCATCGGAAAGTGTCCGATGCTTTGTTAATTTGTGTCCGATGTACGGAGTTTTGTTTTTGATAATAACATGATAATAACAATCGGTATAATCAAAAAAATTAAGTCGTCAGCTTCAAGATAGAAACAAATAAATACAAAGAACTCTGAAGTTGAAAGAGAGTTTATTGTCTAAAGTTGTCCGATGCAAGTTTTGTATCCGATGCATGGTGAATTCACCCTACTCCTTATTGAAGGGGGCTGACTGGGGTTTTCATTGCATTTTACTTCGTGAATCAAAGGAAGATGAGGCTTTTTTCTATTTTAAAGTAGATTTATCACATAGTTAATACACTTTTTCTATTTTAAAGTAGATTTATCACATAGTTAATACAATTTGACAAAATTATACGCTAAAACAATTTGGAACGGTTTCAAATAACTGATTTTTAGAGCGTTTATTTTACTGAGAGGTAAATAGGCGTCGTCATAGTGTGTTTTTGACGTTATGATATACTGGAGCTCTTAAAAAAGAGTTATAAAATGTAAGGAAGATTAATGAATTTAAGCTCTTGCAATTTACATCATATGATATAAGGTCAAGATCTAGTAAATAAAAGGTGCTTAGAAATTTATCAAAGAACTATATAGGGTTTCTATTATAGTTTGGCCCCCATTTTTGTTACAATTTCAACGCCCATAAACCTCAATGAAATTGATATTTTTTGAAAGATTAGAATTTATACTTTTCTTTTATGGTTAAATTGATATGTTGATTTCAATAATATGCAGAGAATTAAAGGTTTAAAGTGACTAAGTTTACAAGAAAACGCCTAAAAGTGGCATTTTTAGCATCGTTATCGGCGATTTTAGGTATGTGCGACGCCTTGAACAAGAAAGATATTTACACACTTAAAAAATATTTTCAAAGAAAGTCTTCATTCAAAAAATTAATCTTGTTCATGAAGTCGCACACACTTAACAAATTAAAAAACCTTGAGAAAAATTGCACTTTCTGACTCGCATGACGTCACAAGCATGTACGGAGAAAGACGACGACGTTGTTGACATGTCTTGAATTTTTTTTTTCGAAGGTAGCATCATCTATCGATTGCTTCATGTATATTTTCGACATAAAGTTCGAGACATATCTATTTTTGAAACATATTTATGATTAAAGAATATATTTTATCGGGATCGACATCGACATTGATCTGTTGATGTGTGAATGTACGGGTGTGGATCACAAGGAAAACGATGATCGAGTTTGATCTTCGAATCGCTTGAACTTCTTCTACTATACATCAAATCAGTTCACAGAAGAAATATATACATAGTATACATTTTGTAAAATTATTTGATCATGTTAAAATACGTTCATTGTGTGTGCATATTTCCATATCTACTTTATACGTTGTCATTTCTTCCCATATCGTTCATTGTTTACATGTTTACAAGGCAACAAACGTACGGCCAACCAGACGTGTAAAAAATTCAACGTTATTGTAAGAAGTTCGGGGCATTAGTAATTTCAATGAAACCAACTAAAATCTTTTTTTCTATTAATGTTGAATACAAATACTCAAATAGACAACAAAAATAATATTATAAAAAATTTCTATAATTTAATTTTATTGCATAATTAACTTATTTATATGTACAAAAACAAAATAATATTATATTTTTATTACATTTTTTTTACTTATTACTGCAGTAACACTCAACTTGATGTTGTTTTTTTTTTACCTCAACTATTTTATTTTTTTTTTTTTTTTTAATTTTATAAAAAAAAAATTTCTTTTTATTTTAATTTACTAGTTAAAACATTGCGATTTCTTTTCTGGACTGTACAGATAAGAAGTTTTAAAATACATATTTTTTTTAGTGTTGAGAAAGTGGCATGTGTCAGTGCTACCTTCGTAGTTTGTAATAAAGTCAAGATTCTTACCCGTGTAATTGTATTTCTTCTCGAAAAAATCTCAAAAAAAGTACACTGTACCAGTTGAAATTAATTTTTTATCAAAGAGGCAAAAGACTAGAAAGTTATTGATTACTCGGTATATTTTACTACACCCTTCCCCCTCTATGATATCAAAACAAGATTCCGATATTTCACCAGGTCAGTTGGTGCACCTGTGCGGCGCAGTGGTTAGATCATTTGCCCATGAGTCGCAGTACAGAGTATAGAGCAGATTATCCTTAAGTACAGGGTTCAAGTCTCACTTCGGAATCGAGACATAAGTTCTCGAAAGGGTGGATAAAAATCAAACAAACAAACCTGTTCATTGAATTTGTGTATCTCCTCAATGGCCAGTTACATGAATTCGTATTTTTTTCTTTAACATTTCTATGTTTAATCCTTATACCATTATGCCTTTTGAATTTTTTAACAATGTATTATAGGCAGTATTTACACGATCTTCCCTTTCTGATACTAGAATTTTAGTACATGTTGATAGGAAAAGGCCATCGATTCAATGGAGAGAAAATTAAAAATGATTGATAGATTGTTTTCAATGTCCCTGTTGAGAATTTTTATTTATATTGAGATACCACCACTTGCAGATGAAGGGCAACAATTTCTAACCTATACTCGGCACTTACGGCAATTGACCAGCGTGAGATCTTTTTCGTGCCATCTCCTACTACACACGGGACCTCAGTTTAAACGAAAGACCGGTCGCCACGTCCCCTGGTGGGATTCTATCCCTCGACGTAAGGATTGACTCCTTACTTCGCGACTCTATAAAAAGATGCTTTAACTACTGCGCCACGCGGGCGACACTTTGGCTATATAATCATAAATTAAAATTCATTAATATAAAAAAAAAAAAACATAAGTCAATATGTCGTTTCACTACTTATTTCTGCACTTCAAATATGATCATGCGATGCAAAATTTTAATGGTCATATTGCAAAATTATGCTGAATGATGCAGATTTTTTTTTTAATAAATTCCTCCGTAAAATGATAATTGATAAAATCCAATTAATACTTAGCATTTTTCATATTTTCATCTGCCAGTGATTTGACTTTTATAAATGATTATAGTATCACAATTTTTGACAAGACTTTGAATTAGAGATTTAATCAAGTCATAAATCATATGTATACATGTACTAGAATATACTTTTCTAATTTTTCATAGTTACAAAGTTATTATCGGAAATGACTGCATTAACGGACAGACTTACTGTAAGAGAGACAAGTTGATTCCTGTCAACAATCACGTCCCTCAATACCAAGTTTTTGTTAAAATGTTAAATATTTATTTATTTGGGGCGTATATTGTTTTTGTCCTGTCCGTCTGTTTGTCTGTTTATCTATTTGACAGTCTGTTTTTCTGTTTGTCTGTCTGTTGTCTACTTTAACCTTCGCCATAACTTTTGAACCGTTCGAGATAGAGACTTCATATTTGGAATGCTTACTCAACTAACTAAACACTTTCAACTGACACCAAGGTCAATGACCATGTGACCTTGACTGTGACGTATATGCTAAAAATAGTTTTTTTTAACTTTTGCTCTAACTTTTGAGCCATAGGAGATAGACTTTACATTTGGTATGCATACTTCACTAGACTTTATATTTGGTATGCATACTTCACTAGTTAAGTGCTTTCAAATGACACCAAGGTCAATGACCTTGTGACCTTGACTGTAACCTATATGCTAAAAATAGCTTTTTCGAACTTTGTTGATTTATTAACTTTATTAACAAATGCTTTTTTTGGTAAACAACAACAGAAACTGAGTTTGTACAAAATGGTTGCTATGGCAACGGACTTGCCTATCAATTTAATATAATTCAAAGTACAAAATCATCTTAGGGTGTCCATAATATAAATATTTATGGAAGATTTTATAGATCCTACCAAAATTACAGTTCTCTTAATTGTCAATAAAGCCATAATTTCAGATATAATGGAATAAATTTGAATACAGTTTCCATGGTAACGGAATACATATTAAATTGAAAATATATTTTCTTAGTAAAATAGTGACTTTGACATATCCCAAAGTATACATACTTTCATTAACGTAAGACAATATAGTTGGTATCAAAACTAAAGATTGGTTAAATGACAATAGATGGCATTAGATGCCAGATAAAGAGGTCTGAAGGTGTATGTTTTTGACGACAGTTTCCATGGCAACGGAACGCCTGATCAAATTAAATTTTATATTTTTAGTAACATCCTTGCCTTATCCCTCTCCATAATTAAGATAAACATTTTCTGAGTGGGGGCCTTAAATGGCCCTTACCCTATATACTTCTTTAAGAAATAAATCCCTTTAATAATGCATAACTTTAGCTTGGTCAAATAAGGTGTTGGGGCATAATTTGTTGGTAAGCAAGACGGAAAACCATATTTTAAACTGTCATTTCTAATGAAAAAGTAAAAAAATCAGCCATGAATTTTACGAGTTTCATTTATATTGGAAAAGCAGCTGCTTATCAGACAATGTATAGTAACTAATTTTTCTATGATTTCGTCGTATGCCGCTAAAGGGTCTTATAGAGAACGATTCTTTAGGATAATAGTTATTCAACTCTAAAGTACAGTTGAAAATTCGAATTGTGAACAGAAAAAAATAGAACATTTAAAAAGGAGGGATCATGTGGCAAAGAAAAGTAGCATACTTGTACTATTTGTTATACCCTGTCTGTTCATCATTAATCAAACAAAGAAGTTCACTTTTCTCAGCTAAGTTAAGGTAAGGTTTGCGTTAACAGGGAGATAACTCTTGCGAATCACCAAAGCGTTTGAAACAGGCGACTTTAAACCAGCGATGCTAAGCATCTCGGTAACGAATTTCCTCTGTCATACTTGATGTTTGTTGTCACTTATTGTTAGGACTAAAACAAAGGAAAGTCTTATAACAAATCAAAGCATAGGAATCTTAAAAGCCTTTGAGATTAGCGTGATGCATGTGGATGAACCAATAAAGGAGGACTTGTTTATTTTCGATACGGAATGTGGCAAGTTGTAGGCCATTCCGATCAGAAGAAAGTTATCGACGCATTGTGCTGTTATGTGTTTCTCGCTTCACCACAACACTAAAATTTTAAGTGAGAATGGGAAGGAAAAAAGAAAAGACCTGAGAGTATCCTGTAAAGTATTATGCTTTATGCAGTCCGAACAGGGAAGAAAAGTCACGGTGCATTTGACCATGTCCAATGATGATGTTGACAGTTTGATTGTTGATAGTATTTTCATCAGGTAATTATTTAACTATTCATTTTACTGAAAGTTATGAATGATCTTCTGACTACATATTTAAAAACGATTAATAAACGGTACAAAGATGTCAGGATGTGGCTAATATCCATACTTGCCAACCTCCAGCATGTAAAAATCTGGTCATGACCAGATTTGGAAAGTAAAAAATCTGGTCATAACGCGTAACGACATTCACGACATAATTACCATGATTAAATTTTATAATATATATACAAAGTATTTGTGCATTGAGAATTTTTTTTATTGAAAAAGGATTTAATTTACTAATGACAAAAAATTCATATATAATTTGATTTAATTTACAAGTTAAAAATGAGAATTGAAGGTTTCGTATTCCAATATTGACCTGATTCAGAAGTAATTGTGCATTTTTTTAAAAAGCCTTTTCACATGTTTCAGTTTCTGCTAAATTTGAAAGTATACCAATTTCAGTTTTGAAGTTATTTTTGGTGTCTCTTAATTAATTAACTACTTCAATATGTTTTAAATGTGAAGTTAGGCCTACACTGTCTTCGATCACTTCATTTTATCTAGAATGAAAGTTTTTTTTTTTTCACCCAAGATTCCTTGATATGTAACTTACATAAATATCGTTTCTCTTTTTCTTGGTTCAATCAGAGACATGTGTTTGGTTCAATTTGTTCCTGTTGGCCCTGATAATGATCTAGTTCTATCGGAAGCCATTTTAATTGACTTCAGACATTGAATTGTCAAAACAACACCCAGTTAATTGTTTACACCTGCACTGATAATTAATCCATCGGCATTGTTTACGCGTAGATCTAAGCTTGGGTTTTAACTGGAAGGTAAAAGTGCAACCTAATTTACGAACCAAATCCGGAAATCGGGAGATTTTCGGGTTGTTTGGCAAAAATCGGGTGATAAGTATGACCCGCCGGGTCATAAAAAATAATCGGGTTACGGGTTGAAAAATCGGGTGAGTTGGCAAGTATGCTAATATCTCAACATTGCCAAAAAATAAAAATGCATTCATTCAAGAAATTATGAAAAAAATCCTTGCTTTTTAGGCCTAATATTTGTAACATTATTGGAACAGGTATTCAATTGTTCAAGTTACCTTTTAAATGAGGTTTGATTTTAATTAATATCTCATTTTTTAATTAATACAAATTGTGCATGACAAGAACATTTAATTTTCTTGATCAAGCATTTGCATTTCACTAATTCAGTTTACATTGTACATGTATCAATTGTACAATAATTTCATATTGATTCTTCATTGATTATATTGGAATTTTCATTTCATTGAGTGAATGAAATTCAGTCCCGTTCCTTATGCAATTCCAAAAATGCAATTCCTTAAATGTTATTGTAAAAATGAACACATATGATTTCAGATCAATTGGGTCATTAATTGGAATAGATAAGAACAAAAAAAAAGTACTTCAGTGTTTCCTTAAAAGATTTGTGCCATCAATCAAAGTAGAGGTCATCCCATATCAGCTCAAGAATATTAAAGAAAGTTGGATGGATCAAGGTAAGATGTTGAACCAGACATGGCAAAGTCAATGGGGATTTGGAAAAGAAATGATGATTTGTTGTACCCAATGCATATTTTTTATATGTCTATAGATTATAGAAAAAAATTTAATGTTTAACAGCATCCTATCTACCTGGTAGTATACACATGCTGTTTTCAATATATTTAGAAAATATGTGTATGTGATGATTGCAGTGAATGCTCTGTTTGTCCATCTTTGAATTTGTTTTCAGTAAAATAAATGTATACATTAAGGTATTAATTGAAGGTTGCTTTTGTCTACACTTACAAGTAACAAGTTTCTTAAAAGGGTTATTTTGTAAAATTGCAAGGAAATTAATACATGAACAATTAAATTTAATATTTTTATTCATTAAATTTTGTTCTTACCAGGACCTAATATGCTCAAATAAGTATTTCTGAAAACTGATGAGTTTTGTAAATAAAGCTGCAGTGAACATTTAACAGTTTAAAATATGACACTTGGAAATTGAAAGGTTGTTAATTTAGTAGGAATGATAAGACCAGTTTAGTAATCAACTAAAATTAAAATCTTTCACAAATACATGTAGTTTATTTTAAATTGTTTACATTTATAATCTTTTAATTTTTTTCTGTATTTTGATTTTAAAAAGGAGAAAAATTTTTTATATTTAAATTATTATTTCATGGATATCAAGGAGATATATCTATCACTGTAACATTGTTTCTTTTTCCCTGTTCTTGACAAATATTTATGACAGTGTTATGTCATTTTGCAGAATTTGCCTTTTCTCTGAAATCAGAAGTACTCTGTAAACTCATTAAAGTATGAATTGATGTCACTTAGAATTCATCTTTATTTTGTTCTGTCTGATATTTCAATTTAGATTCTCAGACTACCTAATCCAATGATTGAGCTAATTCCATGAAGTGTAGAAATAGGCCATCTTTAAGATATGTTTGGTTGTCGGCCTCTCCAGACCGACTGACTAAAATGACCAGACTGAAATTTTTTTTTTTTCAATGCAGGGCCGTATTTTTTCTTTTTATTCCTCTTATTCCCCGTAAAGAAATGTTGTTGAAGATTTTCTCACCTACCGACCCAATAATTTTACCCAGAGTCAAGAGAGGGCAAACAAACATTACTTTCAAGATAGCATTTCTATTCTTCGAAGTAAAGAAATCAATTAATTATAAAAAACAGCAGCTTCGTGGATGCAATGCTTACAACATTTCACTCAAAAGATGGCATACATGTATAATGATAGTCACGAGACATAACTGAATAAAGATATTTTGCTACGAAGATGTCTAGAAATTACTACATGTTGGAATAACTAAATCAGCATGAGGTCAAATTCAGAGGCTTTTAATTGGGTTAGTTGCAACATGTTCTGAAGTATGTTTATAAACATATACATGTACTTCTAAAGGTGTTGCAGTATAATTCATGGACAATTTCATCAGAATATTCAGATGTAAAGATTGCCATAAATACTAGATTTCTTCCATGGAATAAATTTTTAGACCATCTTGTAGCACAGGAGGAGTTTTATTTTGAATATTTTTGGCCAAGTTTTGCTTAAAAACAATATCAAAAATACATTTAGTCTTTAACATTCACCATGACAAGGTGATATCAATGTTGTCTTTATAAGTGTAGAAAAAGCCTGATTTTTGTGTTCCGAACCCATAATATAGCCCCTGTTTCCATGGAAATAATATTGGGGACATACATATTTTTTTGGTTCAAATTATTTAAAATGATCAAATTAATAACTTCACGGAATTTGATGGAATCGGTAGATATGTAAAACGTTGATTTTTATATTTTTGTTGCCATGGCAACGGTTTCACTTTATCAAGGAAAATTGAAAAATCTTCTTTTTTACCCAATTTTTCACATTTTTGATAACGGAAAATTAATAGTTTAAATAATAGAAGCATGAATTATACTAATTCAGGTCATTTTAATTATAAAAGTTTGATAATTAATAAAATAAATCAATTTTTTCAATGAAAATAATATTCGAGGTGAAATATGAAATACGTTAAATTTGGCGTCTTTTACTAAAAAAATGGGACGGGCAATATCTTTGAAAATCATATTAAATGATGAAGCTAATCTCCCTGAATAAATTGATATATGGCATGTGTGCATATTAAAAAAAAATAAAAGTTGGAGGGAGACGCAAACCTTACACTGCATGAAAAGTCGCGTTTAATATAATTTAATAAATTCGTTTACTCCAGTAAATTTCTTGTATTGAATTTAATTTATGTATAGAGGTACATTTTACATGAGATATATTGTGATATAATTAAGTACAGTTTTCAAATAAGTATAATCACATTTAATGCAAAATACGTCGAGAATAATATAGTTTAATTGAGAAAATTATACGTTTCGTTTAAGAATATCGACATGTTAAAGTAAATATGCTTATACTTAAAGTTTAAGTACATTTTTGGTATTTTCAATATGTCATAAATAATTCTTTATACCTAATGTAAACTTATGTTGAAACATTTTTGAAAAAAAAACATTTAGGCACCCTATTAATTTAATTTATTCATTTCTCATTTTTATTTATTTAACCCTTATGTACATTTTTTCAAAACTGTGGAATATAACTTAGTTTTTTTTCTCTATGATCGACTACTACTGTAGTACAATTACATCGGGATCGAAGTCGGGCTCGAAAAGCAATTAATTTAAAAACAACACACCGCGCCGAAATTCAATTTCTTGGAGAGTTCCACGCAGCCATGTTGAACTTGATCATGATGTTGTACGGGGCGAAAGAGAGTGACACGAAAAGGAGAAGCATGATTAAGTTTGGATGTAGTTTCTGTTTTAACAGAAGATGAAGACATTTACGACCCTGTTTAGCGGTAAGAACAATGTACAAAATTTTATCATGTGTCCTTGAATGAATAATTGCCTCTGCTACTGATAATGTTACTGTTCCTTAGTCTGGGCTCTACACATAAAATGCCTGGCAGTAAAATCGTTTGGGCAAGCGCTATTTAGATTTTGTAATAATTATTTAACACTTTTAATCATCTCTCTTAAAGATGGATTTTAACCAGAATTTTCTCGTTTGGTATTGGTTTCAGAATTTTAGTCACTAAAGTGTTCCTCTGTTCAGCATTTACAGAGTATGTTGTACAATGTAATAAAATATTTATTTATTTCTTGTGCATACTCAAGAATATATTCAGCACTTATTTTGATTATTTAAATAGTTGCAGTGGACTGTCCCTGAGACGATTCCCCACATCGCCGGCTATGTAGACAGCATGTGAAAATGGTGAGAACCATGCAGTTCAAATTTTCAATTAACACAAAAAACTAACAATGTTTTATCAACCTGTATCTTTAAGCATAAGACTATAAAAAATATTGCAACAAATTGAAATGCTATATACCAAGTAAACAAGATGAGGTTTACAGGGGCTGACAAATAGATTTTTAAGGCACTAGTCCAAGGGCAAGTACATGGTCAAAACTGACTTGCCCTACCTGAATTTTTGCTTGCCCTACCATAAACTAATTCTGTATTTATAGATATTTCCAAAAAGAGGAATACAAATGCTGAGCAAGCCGCCTTGCCCAGCTTTAAAATGGCCTACAAATAAATTCTATTTTTTTGATAAGTCACTTGCCCATGGGCAAGTGGTTGATAAAATTCCACTTGCCCACCCCTAAAATTCACTAGCCCCGGGCGTCGGGCTATGGGATTTGTCATCCCCTGGGTTTATATTCTTATTTTCCTTATCCTAAAAATACAATAGCATTGGATTCTGAGCTATGCATAATTTTTTTTTACGTTAAATACTTAAGCATGAATTATTAAAAATAGCTATCATATTCTATGTTGCACAATTATGCATCCATTATTTACAGGAATCCAAATGATCACAAGAAATGACAAAAGCAGTATGAAGAAAGATTTCTTAAATTTTCTGATAGGATCAAAAAAATCACATGAATTGATTTTTTTTAGCTCACCTGAGCCATTTTAAGACCCGAGCGAGTTTTCTTATCTGTGTCTGGTATTTGTCTGTCATCTATAAACTTTTCAAATTTTTACATTCATGAGAATTAATCCTAGTTTGTACAAAAAACCCTGCAAGATACATCTTTTCTTTCAGAAATTGTGCCAGAAAAGTTTGAAGTAGCTATGGGAATGACCAACATTGAACTTGCTGAGCCTTCCTTCTGAAAGTGACTTGACCAGATATTTGGCTACCCAGTATGAGGTACGAACTAATCATTTGTTGTACGACTTATTGTATATGAGATTGCCACCATTTACTAGAACTTTGCATTTGCTGTCCACTTTAAAAACCTGCTATCTACAGTGTAAGTTGTTAATATATTTTACTTTATGTTAAATCACTTGCTCATTATCCCAATAACTTGCATGTTTTGACATTTAAAAATGCTGTAGATCCTAACCTTTGCATTTTTGTTTACTCTTAAATTCCATGTGTTCCGAGTATTTACATCCATTTCATATCATGTTTTGTCTTCTCTAAATTTAATCTAATACATATCATAAAATGTTTTTGAAATAATTCGCTGAACTAGATCACAAAGATTAAGGATTTTATTATTGTATGAATGTTATCTACTTGCTCTAATCATAAATACATCTGTTTGTATATTTTTTCTAAGAGATGCCATACCTGCTTTTAATTTTTCATATTTTTTTTATCCATAGTATCTTTCTGCTACATGAAATAAAATATCGTGGAGGAACACAAAGGAAAGGGCTGTGCATCTCAACATATTCAAGGTCAAGCAGGTAAATACATTGGTAAATTGCTCCAAAAAAAAAAATGGCAAAAAGTCACCAGTCTCCAATTTTCATGTACTTCCACAAAATCTGTAGCTTGCTGCTGTGAAACTATAAATACCTATGTCTTAATATATTAAATGATGTAAATGCTATTCTTTTCATTTTTGTAAACTTTGTAAATCTTCAAATTCCATGTGTTCGGACTACGGTGCCATTATGTATGTTTCATATCATATTTTGTTGTCTATAAATTTGATCTATACATACAATTATATGTTTTTTTTTTATGTAATTCATTTACCTAGATGACACAGAGAATTTTTTTCATTGTGTAATATGTTATCTTCTTGCTTTAGTCATAAGTATACCCTATTTGTATATTTTTTCTCCTTTTTTGTATATTCTTTCTACGGAGAGCCATACCTGTTATTAATTTTTCATATTTTGTTTGTGACAGCTTTTTACCATATCCATAGTATCTTGCTGCTAAATGAAAGAATTAATGTGGAGGAGCAGAGAAAAGGGCACTACAACATGTTCAAGGTCAAGCAGGTAAACATAGTAATAAAATGCTCCAAAAACAAAAAAGATGGCGAAAAAATCATTAGTCCCCAATTTACATGTACAATGTATAACAACATTAGCTTCATAATCTGTAGCTCGCTGGCCTGAAATTATAGATAATTATCTGTCTTTATTACCCAGACTTGAAAAAATGGCATATCTTTTGTTGTCTTCTGTAACTTTTTTAATTAATCAAAATTGAGCTGTGTTTCCTCTAGGTCAATTGATAATTTTACAATCAACTCAGATTTTGTGTACTTTTTAATATATGCAATTGCATAAATCCGGAAGCACACATATAATATGTATATATAGGCAAATGGGTATTTATTTTTATGTTTGTTGTAGAAATTAGGAGCTAAATGTGCTTCTCCAGAGCTGAAAACTTCTTGGCATGAAGAGAAGAAAAAGAAGAAGAAGCAGTTTTAAATATTGATTACGTCTTCATAGTACAAAAAATGATTCTAAAGATAATACTATCTATGAAATTAGAAAACTGAAGTTGCGTTCTGATGAATGTGAGAAAGTCTTCAAAGAACAGGACACCAAATGTGCAACTCTCAAATCAAAGCACTCTAAAAGGCAGAGCATAAGGAGAACTAGGACAAATAAAGAATCTAAAAGAGTACTAGTCAACCCTATGGATGTAGTAATTGAACATAGATGGGCTATTAGAGATGAAATATCTGAGTTTCTACTTTTTTGCACAAATGTGATGCTTGTTTTACTTATCTTTAATTTACACATTCAATGTTAGATAAGAAAAAAAATATACCTAGTGTTGTATTTTTGACAGCGAAATTTAATTTTTTTCTGATGCTTGATTACAGATTGAAACTGTTATGTTTTTTATTGTTTAAACATTTATTGGTTTGTTGTGTAGTATGCAATCAGATACATTTTAATCTTGATTTATATATTACATATATGTACAAGTCTGACTTAAATAATAAGTGCATGGACATTATTGTGGAAAAAAATAAGATAATCAAGGGTAGTCTGAAAGAGCTTTGCTGGCAGTAAGTTGCAGATCTTGATACCCAAGTAAGAGAAGGGTGGCGTCTCTGACCGATCCTTTTGATGTTGCTTGTGGGCGAGTGAGGCTTCTCTGTCAGTGGCTTAGTGTGCAGTATGATATAATTTATTGTGGGAAATTGAAAAGCCATTTACAACCCATGCAGCAGTTTTAATAGGGGCAGTTTCAGTCAGATTTTGCAGTCTTTTGGAGTCCAGAATGACTACATTTTTGACCTGTCGTGTTCTGATTTATTGCGGATTTGAATTTTACATACAATTCTATTCTTATATTAAATTATTTATAATTACTTCAGTATATTACTTACTACTAGTATGTAGAAATTTACTCCATTATAATTGAGCTACAATTATGATTGTATTTTTTTAAATTCTGACTTTTAGGCATAAATTTGAAATATCTTGTACTTTGTTAGAACTCATTGTTTGTAGACTATTGAGATAACATATAATAAAACTGAATGAGAAATGCATTTGTGTATGAATGTAAAATACTTGCCAAAAACACAGTTGTAAACCATACAAATTATTGATGGAATAAATAATGAAATAAAAATATTATGCAATAATATAATAATATTAAATTTCATCAAATACAACCTTAAATCTTAATGCTATGGGAAGGTTTAATCCGTACATTTTCATCACTTATAAACAAGATTTAATATTAGTTTATGAAAGATTAAAATTTGAACGTATTAGTAAGTTTACTGTTTTCCGTATATAACCTAATTTTTGGAAGTATCATAAAGTAAAGTGTGAATTTAACAAAAAATAATGAGGTAAAGATCTACGTTAAATTTTATTAAACGAACAAATTTAATATGACCATAAAACTTTATTTTATGGCCATGTTTAATAATAATTATACGTTTTGTATATTAGATTTATAATACTTGTTTACGGCAGACTTAAATCCGAACGTATTAGTAAGTATACAATTTTCCAAACTTTATTAAATTTGTTCTTTTAATTTTTCATTAAACTCGTATTAAATGCTTATTATTTTCTAACATTTAAGATCCCACAATATTTTATATTATGCATTTAAACATTTAATAATCGCAGCATTTAAATCGCATTTAAGGTCAAATTAAACCCGACTTTTCATGCAGTGTTACCTTAAGGAAGGAAAAATTAAATGTACTTTATTACCTTTAAGGTTTCGTCAAAGGTCAACATGTCTAAAAAATTATTTTTACAATTGCTCCAAAACTATGTGTGGTATGAAATCAAAACGTTTACATTTCGTAAATATATCACTGATTAATAGATAGAAAGTATTACTTGATAACAAATATTTTTAAAAAGATATTTTTAGAGATAAATTGTATCAGAAAATGTGCATATTTAAAAAAAAATGCACCTGCTTAATTCTGTCCTTTTTGTGAAAACCAACATTGTAGAAATAGTCCAACTTGCCCTTCAATGATAAACATATTTTGTTTCTGCAATGATGGTTTTCACTAAAAGCATGGAATTAATTAGGTGTATTTTTTTGAAAATAGATGCATTTTAAGAAGAATTTTTCTCAATTAATATTATTCCAAGTATTTTTTTTATCAAATGATACTTTCTATCTGTTAATCAATAAATAATTTATAAATTGTAAAAGTTTTAACTTTATACCTTACAGAGTTTGGGGGCTATTGTAAAAATAAATTTTTAGGCATGTTGACGTTTGACGAAACCTTAATCATTTAATTTCAGCTTTATAAAATTGTGTAAACTATGATATAAAATTAGCTTTTGATTGATTGATTGTATATTGTTTAACGTCCCTCTCGAGTATGTTTCACTCATATGGAGACGTCACTGTATGCCGGTGAAGGGCCTCAAATTTTGACCTTTACTCGGCACTCAGGGCCATTGAGCAGTGAAAGATCTTTATCGTACCAACGCCTGCCGCTGATACGGGGCCTCGGTTTTTAAGGTCTCATCCGAAGGATCCGCAACTTTCACTTCAAAGTGCCGAGCGCATGTCGAAGGAACAGTTGCTACCCATTTTAACGACTAGGCCAATCGCGGACGAGATACGAACTCAAGACTTCCCGATCACGGAGCGAGCGCTCTACCGACTGAGCTACCGTGAACGGTAATTTGCTTTTGAAAACGTGTAGCTTAGTTTAAATTTATTGGTACACATCGTGGTGTATCAATTAAAGGTGTCTACAAGAAGAAGACTTTGCATTCTCCTCACATCCCACCTCACATCCCACCTCATCCGTGTTGTTCACATTTTGTTAATTTTAAAGCAGTGATGATGCATTAGTGCATTACATTGAAATTTTATTAACACTCGTAAATCGACATTCAACGTTCATATTCACTGTTACAGCCATCGAATATAAACAATTTATTTGATATTCGATCATGCCATTGTGAATGGGATATTGGTGTAATGAAAATAGTGTACATGTATTGATTTAAACATTAATGAATTTGCTAATTGATATTGGATCTTTAAACAATGTTAATGATAATTTTTCATTTCATTGGAATTTTTGTTCCTTATACATGTATATTGATTTTATATGACGTTGCTTTGTACTTCAAAAACTTATTTTACCCAATGAACAATTTAACCCACGTGATATAGCCACTCATAAAGTCTTCTTTCCGCTTTCCGCCACTGCGTTTTTCACTTTCCCAAAACGAAATGTGAAACGTTGTGGCGGGCGAGAACAAGACTACCACGTCTGATCAAATCATATCGTTTAGAAAAAGAATGCCAAATTTAAATTAAAGTATCTTACACGAGAGTTTTGTTAATTTTTTCCCAGAGTAAGATATACAGTATATTTATCTTTTGGTATATAACAAGTCTGAAACATAGGCTTTCCTTTCCTATACATATTTATATATTTATAAGCTCCCTAACATTTATTAGCAATGACTATTTGATGGACTTTTGCGAGGAGCACTGCCATTTACATTTAACGGCTTTCAGTTGCATCAATACAATGAAGGGAAGCTCATTTACGATATAACATTAACATCTACCTTTACATTTCATTCAACGAAAATTACGAATTATTTTAAAGCAAAAATAAGTTGCTTTCGAAGAGAATGATAACCAGCCTACCCCTCAAATCCTTCAGATGTCACTACCCACAAAACCATTCCCATGACTAATAGAAAGATTTTCTTATTATTTTTTATCAATTCTGTACCTCCGTACATGATACAGGTTTAGGTGTCAAAGTAATGAGTCAACTGCAAATGTCAGTGCTTCTCGCAAACGAATAGGAGACAAACATTACAATTAAATAATATACCGTTGACAATAAACTTAACACCATTCCACTTTAAGACCTAGTCTCACACTATTTTACTATAAATGAATGAAATATAATTGAATGAAGCAATTTTTTCTTTACAATGTTCCTTAATTTAGTGTTAGAATTTATGCAGTTTCAAATATTTTAATTCAAATTTTCATTATGAAAGCTTTTCAAAAGACGAGTATTTTTCAGCCTTTGATGAATATTTTCATAATATTAAATCTTGTAAAACTCTCATCAAGTAAAAAGTAACCTACCCAATGCTTTTGTCATACTTCGTGATAACATTACTTCCTCAATGTTTAAGTTAATGTTGTCATTTTGAGCCTTTTTGTATTTAAATGCTTATTTTCTCATTTAAATACTTCCTTTTTTATGAAAAAATTGTATTTCCTTTTTTTTTCTTTTAAAGAAAACATTCATTTGAAAAAAAAAAATTGCGTTTTATATGCACGATTTTTATCATATATCAAATACTTATTCTTTATTTTGCCAAATGATATTTTAACTTATTATATAGCTAATAAAAAGTCTAAAATAAAAGTATCGAAAAAGACTAGATAATGTTAGCGTTCAATATCTTGGCCTTTTATTGAACGCTGAGTTTGTTTAACTTATATGATCCAAATCCGAGCGTTCAATATCAAACGCTCCGTTGTAAACAAAAAGTGTCGTCTGTTCAACTCTCAAGGCAAAATTTATGATGAGTAGTGGCAGCTAGGTTAGATATTTTATTTTCATACCAAATTGATATTATTAAGTAATGATTTAGTACGTATTAGCCTTAATAAACCCTCAATAAGCATCATATTGCTTGATATAGGGTCATTGGAACAGACGTCAATTTAAATGCCAATGCTGAAAATATCTTATCAATTTGAGTTATTGAAACAATGAATATAAATCAATGAGAGATGTTAAAGCTATATAAGAAAGAATTTATCGAGCTTGGCCTTCAATTTGTTACAATATGTGGGCATAAATGCCGAGCTTAGGTCGAATTTGTAGTTTTCTTTTTTGGTGAAGTAGTTGCGTCTAAATTTGAGTTTTGCTTATGGAAGCAAAAAATACTATCACTTATAACATAAAGGCATTTACCGTAACAAGATTTTTGCAAAGAACTGTTCGTTGTCTTTTTATATTTCATTGAACCAATCCATATTCCATATGTCTGCAAACAATCTAAAATGAGGTGATCCGTTGTATAAATGTTTGAAATTCTTCTTTACTAACTAGGCGAGTTTATTGAAAATCAAGTTGATGGGACAAGACTAT